TATGGTTCATGGGGTCACGAAGAGTCGGACACGACTTAACGACTAAACAACAACAAAAACTGACAATAATAGGATATAAAGTATCCATAGTTTATTCCACTGCCTTAAAGGAATATATTTTCTTGAAACAATTTAATTTGCAAAAAACCATGACTTGCAATTTTGTCCAGCAGTGTCTGGGAGTCAAACTTGTGGGTCTAACAGAAGCAGCAAGCCCCACCCCTTCTATACACATACACACACCACACACACAGGGCCAGAATCTGCAGTACAATGCTGCTTTTGTCATTTTAACAAAATGACAAAATGACAAAACAGCAGCCTGAGGATGCTCATGATTTTATCCTTTTTTTTTACTATGAAGCCTGGGTCTGCTAATCCCAACACATATTGAGGAGATGAAGTTGGGAAGATAGATGCTTTAAGTCCACTTTGTTTTGTTTTCAAATTATGAGTGTTACCCAGTGAACTTTGCTGAAGTTTCAAAAATTTTCATTGGTTAACGTCAGGATGCCTTATGCCTCCTAAGAAGCATAGAAACTAACTGAGGGCCTTGGACAATATTACAGCTGTGAATGACAGTGGACATGCCCAGGCTCCACTCCTATGTGAGCTATTAGTAAATTAGACATGAAGAAAGGGATGGAACCCAAGAGAGAGTAAAATCATTAGAGAGATAGAAATGAAATAAGATGCATTGGTCCTATTATTTTAAATATTGGCTCTGATATAGGTTCTAAGGTACTCTTATTACATCCTGAATATTATTCTGAAAATCAAATTATACTAATGGTTAATAAAGTGGCATAAGTTACACTGACATGGAGAAAAGGGAGAACTGCAAGGATAACGAGAGAGCAAAATAATTACTGTATCCACATTTAGTGGATGCAGATGTTGGAGCCAAACTCCCAGAACTCTCAGTCAGACGTGTAAATCCAAAAAATCTGGAGAGCGCCGAGGTGGAAAAGCGGGCTATCAGCCACGTTTCTTCCTTTGCCTCTGCGAGCCATTCTTTGCTTTCTAGCCTGGGATGATCTCAACCATTAATTCGGATTCCAGGGAGAGTTCAGACCACGCTCCCGCTCCTTTCAGTCCGAGCCCAACCCTTCTTGGTCCTGAGCGAACACGTTTTGGCCCAGAGAGCCTCGTCACGCCACAGACGGGCCCACCCTGCGGTGCCACAGAGCGCCTCTTTTGCGCCGCAACTGACTAAAGCGGGCGGCTTCCTTCCTTCTTTCAGGTCATTCCTAACAGAGGCTCGAAGCCTTTTTAACGGACTTTCTCCGAAGTCCGCCTCGCGGCGGAGAACGAGCTGAGGTTCAGCCTGGCCCCGCCTGGGGTCTTTAGAAGCAGGGCTGGACTTCAACTCCCGTCGTGCCCCAGCCAACATGGCCGCCAGGCAGCGCTAGGCTGGGAGAGATTGGACTTGACTGCTGAAGCCGTTGGGGAGGGAGGTTGAGGAGAAACGCGATGTCCCACGCCGACCAAGCCAGGAGGGAGGGCTCCCCCTCTCTTACCTCGGGCCCCAGCGCACGAACCAGAAACAGTGACTACCGCCGAAGGGCCTGGAAGCCGCTCCGGATCTTCCCTCCGCAGGCGCCGCTGACGCCAAACACCCCAGCCGCAAAACCCCGGCGCGGACTAGTGACGTAATGCCCCTCTTCGTCTCGTGGCTTAGTAGGCGGAGTTTGTAGTGGGAAAGCTCCTCCCCGAGTCGCCTTTGCCTTTGAAATACTTTCACTTTTTAGGGGGGATGTTAATCAGTTTTTAAATGTTTTTTAAAAAGACCTTAGTGCTGTTCAAATCTATTGGCTGTCCGGGGGAGCTGAAGAAGTATTTCATATCTGATTCAATAATCCAAACGTGATTTCTTGCACGTGCCTTTAAATTCACGTGGTGAATCAGACACCAGTGCGGCGGATTTCAGAAGTGCACGCTGGCATTTGAATCTGCAGCGTTAAAGTCTGATTAGATAGCCTACGTTATGCAGGACATCTTTCCCATTCAAGTATTTTCGGTGAGGAGTATTCAGCTTACTGCACAGGATACAGAAGCAGATGCAAAACGAAAATGAATATAGAATACATCGTGGAAAATATTACTACACAGCCGATATATGGATAAGTTTCTTATAAAACTCAGCATGTCATATCACATTTTTATGATTGAGTCTTTAGGAATTGAGGGATATATTATTGTAAAAAGATGAATTCCAGTTGTCAGATTACTGTAAATGGTCATGAGAGCTTACTGATCATTGCAATCAAAGGGATGCATCTTAAGGGAGATTAATCAGTGGCCTGGAGCTACCCAGAGCCCTCAGTCACAAAAATGTGACCTCTGGCTCTGTGACTTTTTTTTTTAACTGGGTGACTGATGAGAATGATAATGCTGCTATTAATAGCAGGAAGGCAAACAATGTGGTTTCTGCCAATGGGCAGCAATGGTTGGCAGAGGGGCACTGGGACAGAAGCAGAAGGAAAAAAAAGAGGAATGTGTGAGTGTACATTTGAAGAGGTGCACGTGGGTTTGCATGTCCCAGTGATATGTTCCTGACAAAAATATTAATGCATATTCCCCACACATATTAATGCATAGTGATTTTCTTTCTGCACGAGCCTTAATTCCTGCTTGGCTGGAAAATAATTGCCAAACTGTTTTGTATTGATGATGGTACATACATGGCAACTTTGTAAGTGACATTTCCCCCACTAAGCATTTATAGAGACTTGTGAGAAAAGCAGACTAAGAAGATTTTTTTTACAAGAAATTCAGTTTAGTCAAAGAAACCATAATTACCTTCATTGCATGATAATGGTAGGATTTTTATGGCTTGGACTCTGGAAATTTATGACAGCAATAGGACTTTAACCCTGGACACTGGCCAGCAAGACTTAAATGAAGTGTACTGAAAAGAAATGCTTGTTTAGGTCAAAGAGAACAGTACCATTTGTAAGAATAGCAATTCTGGAAATAGGAATCTATTTGTTCTCAAAAAGCTCTTTGAGTTTCCCTGGAATAGTGTACCCTAATTTGCCTTTGAATTCACTGAAACTACCTTTGACCCAGAACAAAATTAGATGTGTCCTGGAAAATCTAAGATTGGCATATGTTATGCCTCTGGATATGAGTTGCTGGGAAACTATACCAGGATGGAGAAAACCATCCCTCCACCCCTAACCCCAATATAATGCTTTGAATTTTCCTCTAGCTATCTATTGATCAGTGTGGGAAACAGGATTGTGGACTAGATAGGTTCTGGTTTGAACAATGCTGGACCAAAGTAGAGGCTTTTCTAATTCAGTCCTCTGTGTCAGTAGTTTGTGTCATACAGAGATCAGTTAGATGAAACTGAGAAACTCATAAGGATGACATGAAACTGATAACTATCTTCCATTGTTGTGCAGTAGCCACTACTATTTAAGTCATGGTACCCTTGAATATGGATTAGGAGAGCTCTATTTTTGAATGTGCTTAGCCCCATTTAAAACCACCTAGATGGCCACCTTCACATCTCATGGTAGCAATTTCCACAGTTTAATCATGGATTGTGTAAAGAAATACTTCCTTTTATTAGTCATTAATTTCTCCACATTTTATTCACTAAAACTGTGTTTTCTAATATTCAATTGTAATTTATTATTGTATTATAATACTTAGATCCTACCTTTCTAATTTCACACTATCGTGTTTCCCATAGCTACCTACGGTTGTGAAAGTTGGACCATGAAAAAAACTAGACAGGAGGAAAATCAACTTGTTTGAGCTGTAGTGTCGGAGAAGGCTCCTGTGCATTCCTTGGACAGCAAAGGTGACAGACAAGCAAGTTCTGGAGCGTATAAAACCAGACATATCACTGGAAGGCAAAAATCACAAAAATTTGCCTTACTTATTTCAGCCATGACATGTGATCAAACTCACTGGAAAAGGCAGTTATGCTCAGAATGGTCAGTGGTAAAAGGAAATGAGGCCGCCCAAAAACATGGTAGCTAGACACCATTAAAGCCGACACCAACCATAGCATAAAACAACTGAAAGAAGCCATACAAGATTGGAAAATGTGGAGAGAGCTGATCCATACAATCACCGAGAATCGGACATGATTGAATGAGTAATATCATCATTACCTTTCTAATATGGCACTCATTTTATCTTCATCTTGAACATCTTTGTGAAATGCTCAAAGGCACCCAGTGAACTCCATGGTTTAGTGAAGATTTAAATCTTAGAGGATTTTTGATACAAGATTTTGAAATTTTTTAGGGATTGCTCTTCTTGAACTACAGTTCCTCATGCCATATGTGAAATCATTCTAGAGATTGTGGGATCACATAATCATCTAGTGAAAATTGTGAGGCAGAAGGGAATATTTTGTTTATATTTTAAGAAGTCAAAGTAATTCCTGAACATGCCAAGTGTTATTATTATTATTAGTAGTAGTAGTAATAATAATAATATTTTTATGCCTCCTGACTTGTAGCAACTCTGGGCAATAATTAGTATTACACAGAAAGTGTACTCTGATTTTAATATGGTTCCAAGAAGGCTGCATACAATTGAAAACAGCTTTTCCAAGTGGCTGTTTTCTATTAAAAATTAGGAGTGAGATAACGAAAGTACATGTACTTTTTTCCAGTGGTGGCATGAAAAAAGTATTTAGGGCAAAAACATAGGAAGGGCAAATTATGTTTTGAAGTTCTTAAGAAACAATGTCACACAGTGCAAAGATTAAAAGAGTATTTTTTCATTAGGTTATTTATCAATCCAATGTCTCTTGTAACAATTCCTACTGCATTTACAAAGTTTAAAGAAAGTTGGGCAAATGTACATATAATATACTGGCTAACATTAGTATGTCTTTTAGTATGTAGTGATGAAAGCTTAAGAGAACAATAAAGTATTTAAACACAAATTACCTCAGTCTTCAATAATTAACTAGAAAGACCTTTAATGAACTTAGTACCCAAGTGTGGAATTTGGAATCTGACTCTTACTACATCTAGATAAACACCATTGTGTCAGATAGAAGACTTCTTTGTAGACTTCATTTCAATCAGAGCAGTTCACTTCTCAGTTGCATTACATTATTTCCAATATGATAATTTGTAGCTTATATGAGCCAGCCATGGTTCTTACTGTGCTTTTCCCATGCATCATTTCCACATACTCGGCATCAGTCAAAGGTAAGTTGCTTGTTTAATCTTTTGACTTTCATTTGTATCTTTAATCTTTTGACTTACATTAGTAGATGAGTATCTGTGCCTTTTAACAAGAGAAGTGAAAGTATAATGTAGATTTTGCTTATGTGGATCTTTTATATCTAGATCATTTTGAATTAATTGGGGGTTGAGGAGGGGAGATTTTGTTATATGGATTGCTTTATGGGCCACCGGTGGTTTGGAGCAAGTCAGGTCTTTCTTTCTTATGGAGCCTGGATTTGTGCTTCAACAATGAAACTATTCACAGGAATCTCCTTGAAAAAAGGGTTTAGGAAAATAGTTTTTCTAATCTAGGCCATGCCTTTTAAACCAATGGGAGTTATTTCTGAACAGATTTCACTGCTAATCACTGACTTCTTGTGCAGTCATGACCAATAGTTGATGCATATTTGCTTTTCGAGGCATCAGATATTTGTTGGTTTTGCAAAGATTGGTTGAAGGGTGCTGTGATCTGATATTAGCCCACCTATTACTTTTTATGGCTTAAAAATCATGTTGGTGTTCCAGATTAAAAAATCATTTCAATTAAGTTTTGGAATGTAATGACTACATAATATTTTTTTTGTATTGTTATGCTGTCCTTCCTCTGTCTACAGAAAAACTCCAATCTGGAGGAATTTTAGGAATGCAATAATTATAGTTCATATCCACAGGTACTGTAAAATATCTCCAAAGCTTATTATGGAAAAGAAGATAAATTAATTCCCAGTAGTATAAGTTTTGCATAAACTAACTATATAGGCACATGCACATTTAAACAATAATGTAATGTAAATGCAATATATCTCATCAATGACTTGACCTGCTGTCCAGTAAACTTTTTCAATCTATTCTCCTCCTGGTCTGTCGTCTTACATTTTTTCATATTGGATTGAACTGATTCAAAGATAGTACAGGGCAGTCTTTCAAACAGAGGTCAGTTTGATCTAAGGTATAACAACTATGTACTACAACTATGTAGTTTTAGCAAAGTGCACTGCACCATCTTCTTTGATTTTCCATGTTCTTAAGGATCTTGAAATATCATGTTACAACAATGACACAGACGATCTGCTGGTGAAAGGTGAATGGTAAACTTAATTTATAGGAGTTCATTCAGGATGATATGTGATACAAGATTTCCTGGAATGTGGAGAGATGAAACTTAACTTCTTCAACCTCTGGTTAGATACCAGGTCTATCAATGAGAAAGAAAGGTGACAGTTCTAAGGGGTGATGGGGCAGGTTATATTCCACTGGAATGCAAGTACAGGAGAAAACACAAGGAAGAACTCATTATCAAACTTACACTGTGCAGGGGTAGTAGCAAGGAACTGCATCCTTACAGTTTCATATGGCAGAGTTCTACCATACTTTTTTTCAAAGTCACCTAACAAAAATATAGTGGAACATCTTGCAGTGCATTGGGCCACATCTGCAAAATGTTTTAAGGACAAAGTTGTTTATATTTATTGGGTATCACAATGAAAGTAGATCAGCCAGTTTAGGAATCCAGAGCACTCTATATTTTAAGTTTATTCGATCACATTAATTGTCATCTAACTGATCAAATCTTAGGACTCATAATATGAACAAGATGGTATATCATTAAACACAATGGCTCTTAGCTTATTACATCCAGCAAGGAATCATGGATGGAGTCTTGCAGATGGTAAATTCCTCATTGAGAAAAAGTTAGTTCCAGTTCATTAAAACAGGTGATAAGGAAGGAATATTGAACTATATTCTGAGCAAGAAGATCAGGTAACCTGGCTGCTAGCCAACTGTGGGCACTCTCAGATAAAATGCATTTTCTAGATCACTTTCAAATGGAGTTTGGCACTGAATTTGCCTGCAGGGAGACTCTTACTGGGAGAGATGAGGGAATACCTTGTCATCCTCATTGTCTTTTAAGCAGCTTTTAGGTCCAAGTGAAGGTGTTGGGACAGTATGCTTTCAGTGAATAAATGGAGACAGTGGACAATATATTTGGGAACTTGAGTATCCCATCCCAGATAAATTGCAATATATCATAATTTATTTGCTTCAAGATGTGATCAGCAAGCCCTGCTGTGTTTGGTATCCGTCCTTTTCACTCAGCTAAGTGACAACTGAGCTTTCTGCCAGACTCTTAAAGTCCAGTCCTTTCAAAACCTTTCATAGTGTGAGGATTTACTGAAGAATTGCTTCTTAATACATGTGCCTACTCAAATGCTGGCATAATCTTCCAGTGACCTTCTCTGAGTGTCCCTGCTGAGTGACAGCAAGGTGAGGGTCTTCTTAATAGTAGTAGCTTCCCGCTGTGATGTCCTCTCCAAAAACATCTTCCTAACCACTTTTAAAATTTTCTTAGGCCAAGTTGTCTTGGACCATGTTTCAGCTGTGTGCATTGTAGTCCCTACTCTGTTTTTCAGTGTACTTACTTCTCTGTATTTGTCTTCTGTCCTGTTTATTTTGACATAAGGTTATATTTTGTTGTTGTTGCGTTTTATTGTACTTTCATTGTAATATGATCCATTTTTTATTTTATCCTACAATTGTTGGCAGAACTTATTTCAGTGTGTGGTTGTAAATCGTCTAAATAATTTTAAAAATTAGGAGGGAAATGCAATTTATATAACTTCAATGAGAAGGGACTACAGGCCCCGGGGTGGGGTGGGGGGTAAAAAAGGTTAAGATGGCAGCCACGGCTAAAGCCCTTCAGCTTTTTGCACATTAAAAAGGGCCGGGGCTTTATCTGTGCAGCCTTAGCTGTCATATTGACCTTTTTGACTATCTCCCTGAATGCCCCTGGAAATGAATGAACGATGCCCCTATGCTAATAGACTAAATTCCTATTGAAGGCACTTTTTGCAAATGTGTCACATTTCATTCATGCTAGTAACAAAAGGTCTATGAATAATACACTGAAAACACCCCCACATAGGTTTTTGGGTTTCTGTTGGAGTCATTCATTGTTTATGGTGGGAGGCAAAAAGGAAGCGATCAAATTCTAAACGATATATTCCTTAGTTTCCGGCCCCACCTGAGAAACTTAGAGTGGTCCTTTGCTTTACTTTTCTAAGAATATACCTCTCTTTGAAGGTCTGTCAGCGTGTTTTTCTCCAACTGGAGGCAGCCCGATTTAAAATGAAAGAAATGCAGTATAAGCAGTGGTGTTGAAATAGAAGCGACCACCTGGGGAACAGATCTCCGAGTGACTAGTCTCCATAGTGATGAAATGCTAATATTATTGTGGTCTAAATCTAGGATGGACAACTTTGAGTGGATAGGAGCTGCATCTTTTTTAAAAAAAATAAATAATGTGTCCACTGAGTAGGACTAGTTGTGGTGTGATGAAATATATGTATATATATATGTATGTATGTATGTATATATATATATATATATATCAGAAATCACTAATATCCTATCCTGCTATTTATGGTAATTTGTACATTAGCCAAGGGGAAGTGCAGAAAAGCTAAAGGGCAAATAGCAGCTGGGAAAGTGGATTTTGAGTGGCAAACTGATGTGGGCTCTGATCCAAATCTGGATTACAGCAGCAGATTGGGGTCCTAAACAGCCGCTTTTCCTTTTAAAGAACAGTAGCAGCGTTAAGCATTTTCTAAAAATGTCATAAGTATAATGTTTAATTTGGCGATATGTGATAAATATGGAAGCATGAATAAGTCTCCAATATTTTCTATTAATCTGTATTGAATGGTATTCCCTTAATTTTATTTACATTATCTCTGCAATTATAACATCATTTGTACAACTGCGACCTTTTGACTGTAGCAGGACTTAAAATAAATCTTCATGGAAGACTCTTTAAAGTCTCTGTGATCTGGTAATGATAAATGCAGAACTCTAAATTAGCCTAAGCATGTGGATAGCTAATATTGCCTCCACTCCCTTTTGCTAATTTATTATAAAACAATATGTTTGTGCCTTAGAATGATCAGATAATTGGGCAAAGGGGAACCCAAATTTATCATAAATAAATTTGGTCACTTAGTGTTGTAAGATGTAGTGCTTTTCCGTGGCAATATTGTGGTTATGTTGAATTCATTTTGATAATCTTAATTATTGGCTCCCTGTGTTCATTTTAATAATTTTTGAGTTATTGTAATGTGTTGTATGTGTTGTATGCTTTGTTGCAGCTGCTTAGAATCACACAACTGAAGCGACAGAAGCTTTTACAATAAAATAAACACTTTAATGATCATACTTTGATTGCTTATGCACATAAAATATTTCTAATTATACTTTTCAGAAGGATTCAATGCGATTACAGCAGAAAATGCATCTGTAATACTATAGCTTAATATTTTCTCCAAATTATTTGCTATTTTCTGCTGTAAATAGTGAACTAATGCTGTAAAGCAAGTGTAAACTTATGATCTTAGAGCCAGCTAATGGTTAAAACTGCATGTGTTGTCTATGCCAGGAGTACTAATAAAAGGTACAGTCCCTGACAGCTGTCTCAGCTCGGGCAGCATAACTTTCTCTATTATACGGTACCATGAGTTAATTATAGAAAGCTGTAACGACAGGCACTAAGATAGCTATTCAAGTTGCATGTACCCGTTTCTCTCTGCAAGATGCTTAAATGACAGAGGCACTCTCTGCTTTACGTGAGAATATCAACATGCTGCATTAAAATGTACGTCGAGTAATGTTTAGGGAAATGGGAAACCTACCTTTATAAGAATAAATTCTGCCACTGTATCAGAAGGAGGATAATACTCAAAGTGGAAAGCAATGTAGACTAAAGAAGCTGTTGTGAATATGAAAACAGATGCATATTAATACATTAACAGTCACATTTAATTGTGCATTAGCGTTAGGGCTATTATTATTTGTCACACTTTATAATCGGATAAAATGTATAAAATTACTGTAAGCTTAAGATCAGTAGATCAGACAGCAAACAACATATCATAAAAAAGATAAATCAGATTAAAAAAAATAAACCAACAGGTTAAACATTTTAGGATTTTTCTAACCCAATCTATGTTGTTCCCAAGGATATATTAATTTTTTTCTTTTGGTCTGTATTTTATTTTTTGTTATTTCTTATTTATTGCTTTTAAAATAATAACAGAAAAAGAAAGAACAAAAGAACAAAATGCAAAGATAATCATGATAGAAATACATACCGTATTTTTCCTTTAATAAGACACCCCCATGTACAAGACGCA